ACACAGGGGCCCACAGGGGCGCACAGGGGCCACACAACACAGGGGCCACACAACACAGGGGGCCACACAACACAGGGGCCCACGGGGGCCACGCAACACAGGGGCCACACAACACAGGGGCCCACAGGGGCCACGCAACACAGGGGCCACACAACACAGGGGGCCACACAACACAGGGGCCCACAGGGGCCACGCAACACAGGGGCCACACAACACAGGGGCCCACAGGGGCCATGCAACACAGGGGCCACACAATACAGGGGCCACACAACACAGGGGGCCACACAACACAGGGGCCACACAACACAGGGGCCACACAACACAGGGGGCCACACAACACAGGGGCCACACAACACCCAGCCACAAAACACAGGGGGCCAAACAACACAGGGGCCACACAACACCGGGCCACACAACACAGGGGCCTACACAACACAGGGGGCCACACAACATCCGGCCACACAAGACAGGGGCCCACAGGGGCCACACAACACAGGGGCCACACAACACAGGGCCACACAACACAGGGGGCCACACAACACAGGGACCACACAACACAGGGGGCCACACAACACAGGGGCCACACAACACAGGACCTACACAACACAGGGGCCACACAACACAGGGGCCACACAACACAGGGGGCCACACAATACAGGGGGCCACACAACACAGGGGGCCACACAACACAGGGGGCCACACAACACAGGGGCCACACAACACAGGGGGCCACACAACACAGGGGGCCACACAACACAGGGGGCCACACAACACAGGAGCCACACAACACAGGGGCCACACAACACAGGGGGCCACACAACACAGGGGGCCACACAACACAGGGGGCCACACAACACAGGGGGCCACACAACACAGGGGGCCACACAACACAGGGGGCCACACAACACAGGGGCCACACAACACAGGGGCCACACAACACAGGGGCCACACAACACAGGGGCCACACAACACAGGGGCCACACAACAACAGGGCCACACAACAACAGGGGCCACACAACACAGGGGGACACACAACACAGGGGACACACAACACAGGGGCCACACAACACAGGACCTACACAACACAGGGCCACACAACACAGGGGCCACAAAACACAGGGGGACACACAACACAGGGGCCACACAACAACAGGGCCACACAACAACCGGGGCCACACAACACAGGGGACACACAACACAGGGGCCACACAACACAGGGGCCACACAACACAGGGGGCCACACAACACAGGGGGCCACACAACACAGGGGGCCACACAACACAGGGGCCACACAACACAGGGGGCCACACAACACAGGGGCCACACAACACCGGGGGCCACACAACACAGGGGCCACACAACACAGGGGCCACACAACACAGGGGCCACACAACACAGGGGCCACACAACACAGGGGGCCACACAACACAGGGGGCCACACAACACAGGGGGCCACACAACACAGGGGGACACACAACACAGGGGGACACACAACACAGGGGCCACACAACACAGGGGCCACACAACACAGGGGCCACACAACACAGGGGCCACACAACAACAGGGGCCACACAACAACAGGGGCCACACAACAACAGGGGCCACACAACAACAGGGGCCACACAACACAGGGGGCCACACAACACAGGGGGCCACACAACACAGGGGCCACACAACACAGGGGCCACACAACAACAGGGGCCACACAACAACAGGGGCCAGACAACAACAGGGGCCACACAACACAGGGGGCCACACAACACAGGGGGCCACACAACACAGGGGCCACACAACACAGGGGCCACACGGAATTAATACTAGTCTCTAATCACAGATGATCATTACTCTTGGATCCTCAATTACTGTCGCATTAATGAAACCTTCAATTTTGCAGCGTGTGCGTGTAATTCATAGCGTTAGGCCTTATTAATGCGCTCAATGGGGGCTGGTCGCACGCACTCCACCCTCCTTCACACGCATTGATCACGCATTGATCCTCCAATGATCACAATTATGCGCTCATACATCAAATATTTGTCACGAATTTGTCGGATAATCATTCATTAATCAATCACGCATTTCTCATACCAATTTATGCATTCGAGTCATGAATTTGTCAAGAAATCTGCTATTTTGTCCCGCAAATACTTTTATCAAACACAAAAACGCATTTCTCGCGCATTTATCACGCAAAGTTACGCGTAATGAAGACAATTTTCAGTCACAAAATTTACGCATACAGTCATGCGTCTATAAGGCGATCACGCGTTTGTAAATCGGTCACGAATTTCCCACATTAATCAAGGAATATTCGAGCATTTCTGGCCGTGAGGACCCACTAGGTGGGTCCCTCAGGGTCCATCAGGTGGGGCCACCAGGTGGGGCCACCAGGTGGGGCCACCAGGTGGGGTCACCAGGTGGGGCCACCAGGTGGGGCCACCAGGTGGGTCCACCAGGTGGGTCCACCAGGTGGGGCCACCAGGTGGGGCCACCAGGTGGGGCCACCAGGTGGGGCCACCAGGTGGGGCCACCAGGTGGGGCCACCAGGTCTGGACATCATCATTCCCGTTGACGTCTTCCTACCTTGTGTAGCTTCCGGGGATCAACAGCCTCGCGGCACAGTCTCCGACCGGTTGGTCATCTGGTCAACCAGGCTGTTGGACGCGGCTGCTCGCAGCCTGACGTATGGGTCACAGCCTGGTTGATCAGGTATCCTTTGGAGGTGCTTGTCAAGTTCTCTCTTGAACACTGTGAGGGGTCGGCCAGTTATGTCCCTTATGTGTAGTGGAAGCGTGTTGAACAGTCTCGGGCCTCTGATGTTGATAGTTCTCTCTTGAACACTGTGAGGGGTCGGCCAGTTATGCCCCTTATGTGTAGTGGAAGCGTGTTGAACAGTCTCGGGCCTCTGATGTTGATAGTTCTCTCTTGAACACTGTGAGGGGTCGGCCAGTTATGTCCCTTATGTGTAGTGGAAGCGTGTTGAACAGTCTCGGGCCTCTGATGTTGATAGTTCTCTCTTGAACACTGTGAGGGGTCGGCCAGTTATGTCCCTTATGTGTAGTGGAAGCGTGTTGAACAGTCTCGGGCCTCTGATGTTGATAGAGTTCTCTCTCGAAGTACCTGTTGCACCTCTGCTCTTCAACGGGGGTATTCTGCACATCCTGCCATGTCTTCTGGTCTCACGTGGTGTTATTTCTGTGTACAGGTTTGGGACCAGCCCCTCTACTATTTTCCACGTGTAAATTATTATGTATCTCTCCCGCCTGCACTTGAGAGAATACAGATTTAGGCTCTTTAGTCGGTCCCAGTAGTTTAGATGTTTTACTGAGTGGATTCTAGCAGTAAAGGATCTCTGCACGCTCTCCAGGTCAGCAATTTCTCCAGCTTTGAAAGGGGCTGTCATTGTGCAGCAGTACTCCACTCTAGAGAGCACTAGCGTCTTGAAGAGTATCATCATCGGTATAGCATCTCTAGTGTGAAAAGTTCTTGTTATCCAACCTGTCATTTTTCTTGCAGTTGTGACGGCTACTTTATTGTGTTCTTTAAAGGTAAGGTCTTCCGACATGAGTACACCCAGGTCCTTTACATTGCCTTTTCCTTCTATTTATGATTTGACTGAGTTTTGTACGTGGTTTCTTTATATATTTTCATTTTTTCCGTAGCGCATGAGCTGGAACTTATCTTCAATAAACACCATATTATTTTCTGTAGCCCATAGAAAGACCTGATCTACATCTGATTGGGGGTTTGCCGTGTCCTCTATGTTGCCTACTCTCATGAAGATCCTAGTGTCATCTGCAAAGGATGATACAGTGCTATAGGTTGTGTTCTGGTCTATGTCCGATATGAGGATGAGAAAAAGTACTGGAGCAAGCACAGTACCCTGGGGGACTGAGCTCTTCACGACTGATGGTCCGGATTTGATGTTGTTGACTATTACACATTGGGTTCTGTTAGTCAGGAAATTGTAGATCTATCTGCCTATTTTCCCGGTAATTCCTTTTGCACGCATTTTGTGTGCATTAACACCATGGTCACATTTGTCGAAGGCTTTAGCGAAATCTGTGTAAATTACATCAGCGTTTCGCTTATCGTCCATGGCAGTGGAGGTGGCAGAAGTCCCTCGATATTATCACGTATCACATCATTTATCACCACTTGACACGGGTCCAAAACCGACCGAAACACCTCCACTTTTTCCCGTGTGATAAGCACAGGTTGGATTATTTTGGGTTCTCTCTCACTCTTGCCCAGCTCCAGTAACTACTTATTCTCTTGTGACTTCTTTGTGGCTTCCTGAGACTTGGCTTGTGGTTTACTGAGACTTGGCTTGTGGTTTACTGAGACTTGGCTTGTGGCTTACTGAGACTTGGCTTGTGGCTTACTGAGACTTGGCTTGTGGTTTACTGAGACTTGGCTTGTGGTTTACTGAGACTTGGCTTGTGGCTTACTGAGACTTGGCTTGTGGCTTACTGAGACTTGGCTTGTGGCTTACTGAGACTTGGCTTGTGGCTTCCTGAAACTTGGCTTGTGGTTTACTGAGACTTGGCTTGTGGCTTCCTGAGACTTGGCTTGTGGCTTACTGAGACTTGGCTTGTGGCTTACTGAGACTTGGCTTGTGGCTTACTGAGACTTGGCTTGTGGCTTACTGAGACTTGGCTTGTGGCTTCCTGAGACTTGGCTTGTGGCTTCCTGAGACTTGGCTTGTGGCTTCCTGAGACTTGGCTTGTGGCTTACTGAGACTTGGCTGGTGGCTTCCTGAGACTTGGCTGGTGGCTTACTGAGACTTGGCTGGTGGCTTACTGAGACTTGGCTTGTGGCTTACTGAGACTTGGCTTGTGGCTTACTGAGACTTGGCTTGTGGCTTCCTGAGACTGCCTCTTTCCCCACTCCTCCTGTCCTCCTCAGTCTCCCCATTAATACTGGAGTGACTCCCTCCTCTCCCATCCACACACACTATTTCTCTACCTGTTATCACTGTTCGGCCTCTTCCCTCTCACTGCTCATCATCATCTACATCTACCTCCTCCCCTTCAACTTCATTCTTCATTTCTCTTTTCTTTTACATTATTTTCCTCCTCTCATCCTCCTGTTCCTCTCCGTTGTCACCCCCCATCTCCATATTTTCAACCCACATTTCTTAAAACAGTTACTCTTACCCCTCCTCCCCTCCATCTCTCTTCCTCTCTCTTTTTTCCTTCTCTACCCCTCGTGTTGTTGCCGTGTATGCCCCCCCCCCGCCCCGTACTCACAGGCACGCTCAAGGGAGAGTTCCATACGGAGAGTAACCAAGAGTGTCTTATGGCTTGGTATACGAGTGTTGATGTTATCTCCTGAGTGAATACTCTGAAATGCCCTGTGTGGCAGATCTCTGTGTTACATCTCCCTGCCCTGAGGCTGCCCTGAGACTACCTTGAGGCTGACCTGAGGCTGCCCTGAGGCTGCCTTGAGGCTGCCCTGAGACTACCTTGAGGCTGCCCTGAGGCTGCCCTGAGGCTGACCTGTGGCTGCCCTGAGGCTGACCTGAGGCTGACCTGTGGCTGCCCTGAGGCTGCCCTGAGGCTGCCTTGAGGCTGCCCTGAGACTACCTTGAGGCTGCCTTGAGGCTGCCCTGAGACTACCTTGAGGCTGCCCTGAGGCTGACCTGTGGCTGACCTGTGGCTGCCCTGAGGCTGCCCTGAGGCTGCCCTGAGACTACCTTGAGGCTGCCCTGAGGCTGCCCTGAGGCTGCCCTGAGACTACCTTGAGGCTGCCCTGAGGCTGCCCTGTGGCTGCCCTGTGGCTGCCCTGTGGCTGCCCTGAGGCTGCCCTGAGGCTGCCCTGAGGCTGCCCTGAGGCTGCCCTGAGGCTGACCTGAGGCTGCCCTGAGGCTGACCTGAGGCTGCCCTGAGGCTGACCTGAGGCTGCCCTGAGGCTGACCTGAGGCTGACCTGAGGCTGCCCTGAGGCTGACCTGAGGCTGACCTGTGGCTGCCCTGAGGCTGCCCTGAGGCTGCCCTGAGGCTGCCTTGAGGCTGCCCTGAGACTACCTTGAGGCTGCCCTGAGGCTGCCCTGAGGCTGCCCTGAGGCTGACCTGAGGCTGCCCTGAGGCTGCTCTGAGGCTGACCTGAGGCTGCCCTGAGGCTGCCCTGTGGCTGCCCTGAGGCTGACCTGAGGCTGCCCTGAGACTACCTTGAGGCTGCCCTGAGGCTGCCCTGAGGCTGCCCTGTGGCTGCCCTGAGGCTGACCTGTGGCTGCCTTGAGGCTGACCTGTGGCTGCCTTGAGGCTGACCTGAGGCTGACCTGTGGCTGCCCTGAGGCTGACCTGAGGCTGACCTGAGGCTGACCTGAGGCTACCCTGAGGCTGCCCTGAGACTACCTTGAGGCTGCCCTGAGGCTGCCCTGAGGCTGACCTGTGGCTGCCCTGAGACTACCTTGAGGCTGCCCTGAGGCTGCCCTGTGGCTGACCTGTGGCTGCCCTAAGACTACCTTGAGGCTGCCCTGAGGCTGCCCTGAGGCTGCCCTGAGGCTGCCCTGAGGCTGCCCTGTGGCTGCCCTGTGGCTGCCCTGTGGCTGCCCTGTGGCTGCCCTGAGGCTGCCCTGAGGCTGACCTGTGGCTGCCTTGAGGCTGACCTAAGGCTGCCCTGAGACCACCTTGAGGCCAGATGATACCTGGTTGATTTGATGGAGATAGAGGTGGTACCCAGCACCAGTGTCCCCACGACCCGGACTTTGAAACTTTATTGAGGTTAACTGTCTGGTTGACTAGACAACCGCAGAGTTTCCCAGAGGCAATAAGATGCATCAGAAGGAAGACAGTGTAGGTTGAGTGAAGGTGGAAGTCTGGAGCGGTACACACAAATGGGTAACGAGCTACAACCAAAGCCGTAAGCTGGGTATACGATAGCCATTGTGCACAACTCACAATGAACAACAGAACACCCATGGGCAGGACACCTGAAGAGATGAATTAGTGGAGCGAGGTTCAAGAGGCGGGGCCCCAGAGCACAACTACCCCACAGAATAACCTCTCAAACTACTAATCGTAGACGATTTAAAAACTGTAAATAAACCAAACTATCTGACCATCTACGATTGGTCACCTGACTTTGAGGTTACCTTGAGGTAGTTCCGAGTATCAATGTCCCTATGGCCCGGTCTCTGACTAAGATCTCTGGTGAACCAGGTCGTTTGACGCCGCTGTAAACAGTCTGAGACATGAATCACAGTCCAGTTGATCAGGTGACCTATGTAGGTGTTTATCAAGTCCCGTCTTCAAGGTGGAAAGAGGTCGGCTGGTCCCTCTAGCTGGCCAATAAGAGCGTCTTAACAGTGCCTATTGTGATTCTGATTTTCAATAGGCCTATTGAAATACTTGGTCTCTTAAGGAATTAAATTAAGGAGCAAAAGAGGATTTTTCAAAGTTATAATGTTTTTCTCGCAAGCGCTTCCTCCCTCGCTCGCAAGCACGCACGCTCACCCAGAAGCACACGCAAACAACTTCTCCCTCGCGTGCACACACACGTAACCTCTCGCCGGCACACATTCAAAACTAATGAAGCGAAGATAAAGAGACGGAGGAGCCCCAGAGCGCAAGTTCAAACCCCTGCAACAGCCCCCCCCTGTGTGTGTGTGTGTGTGAACACTGAACACAAACACACTCTGGAGAGCAACACGGGAAACGGGTGAACAGCTGCAGCAGGTGTAGCGCGTTACGTTACCTGTGTGGGAGGACAGCCTCGTAGCATCGCTCACCTGTGGAACAAACATAACAACATTAGAACACCGTAGTTATGAGATAAGAACATTAGAACACCGTAGTTATGAGATAAGAACATTAGAACACCGTAGTTATGAGATAAGAACATTAGAACACCGTAGTTCTGAGATAAGAACATTAGAACACCGTAGTTCTGAGATAAGAACATTAGAACACCGTAGTTATGAGATAAGAACATTAGAACACCGTAGTTATGAGATAAGAACATTAGAACACCGTAGTTATGAGATAAGAACATTAGAACACCGTAGTTCTGAGATAAGAACATTAGAACACCGTAGTTATGAGATAAGAACATTAGAACACCGTAGTTATGAGATAAGAACATTAGAACACCGTAGTTCTGAGATAAGAACATTAGAACACCGTAGTTATGAGATAAGAACATTAGAACACCGTAGTTATGAGATAAGAACATTAGAACACCGTAGTTATGAGATAAGAACATTAGAACACCGTACTTCTGAGATAAGAACATTGACTCACTCTACGACACACACACTTAACATAATTTTAAACACACTTACATCTACTGTAAGTTGCCCGGAAAACTGCCCAGGGTATTTGCCACAATGATGGTGCCAACCAGGCTGTAGTGGATACGTGGGCATGCGGGCTGCGCCAAGCAACAGCCTGGTGGACCAAGTTCCCGGAAGTCGAGCCTGACCCCGGGCCGGGCTTGGGGAATACAAGAACTCCCAGAAGCCTCTCTAGGTGTGGCTGACGTACTGAACATCGATAGATATGAGTGGAATATCGATAGATACGAGTGGAATATCGACAGATACGAGTGGAATATCGACAGATACGAGTGGAATATCGACAGATACGAGTGGAATATCGACAGATACGAGTGGAATATCGACAGATACGAGTGGAATATCGACAGATACGAGTGGAATATCGACAGATACGAGTGGAATATCGGCAGATACGAGTGGAATATCGGCAGATACGAGTGGAATATCGACAGATACGAGTGGAATATCGACAGATACGAGTGGAATATCGACAGATACGAGTGGAATATCGACAGATACGAGTGGAATATCGACAGATACGAGTGGAATATCGACAGATACGAGTGGAATATCGACAGATACGAGTGGAATATCGACAGATACGAGTGGAATATCGACAGATACGAGTGGAATATCGACAGATACGAGTGGAATATCGACAGATACGAGTGGAATATCGACAGATACGAGTGGAATATCGACAGATACGAGTGGAATATCGACAGATACGAGTGGAATATCGACAGATACGAGTGGAATATCGACAGATACGAGTGGAATATCGACAGATACGAGTGGAATATCGACAGATACGAGTGGAATATCGACAGATACGAGTGGAATATCGACAGATACGAGTGGAATATCGATAGATACGAGTGGAATATCGACAGATACGAGTGGAATATCGACAGATACGAGTGGAATATCGACAGATACGAGTGGAATATCGACAGATACGAGTGGAATATCGATAGATACGAGTGGAATATCGATAGATATGGGTACAATATATACAGTACGTGGAACATTCCCACAGCAAAACTGCAATATTTCCTATTCTATCGAAAATCTGTTTCTATGCGATTCCAGTTTTAGCTCTCCTTAATCACATATAATCCGACACCATATATATATATGCCCCCCCCCCTCTTCGTGTAGGGTGTCTACGTACATGTTGTTGGTTCCGGGGATCAACGTCCCCGCGGCCCGGTCTCTGACCAGGCCTCCTGGTTTGGTGGTCTGAACAACGAGGCTAATGAATCCTTTGGAGGTGTTCAATACTTGTACATTTATGAATCTAAATTGTCATATCAGTTAAGTGAAGAATTCTGGAAATGTGTTATTTGATGACTCCAAATGCTTACTTAATGCCTAAACACACACCTGTGGGGGGGGGGGTGTAGGGGGGTTGAGGACCGGGCCGCGAAGACGTTGAGCCCCGAAATCATCTCAAGGTAACCGCAAGGTAAGGGTTTAGATGTTTATTGGTCTCAAGAACATCACTTTCTCACTTACCACAATCCTGACAGCATCTAGCTCCTGTTGGCCATCCGTGTCCTCCAAGACCGTGTCCTCAGCCAAGACCGTGTCCTCCTGGGCTAAGACCGTGTCCTCCTGGGCTAAGACCGTGTCCTCCTGGGAAAAGACCGTGTCCTCCTGGGAAAAGACCGTGTCCTCCTGGGAAAAGACCGTGTCCTCCTGGGCCAAGACCGTGTCCTCCTGGGCCAAGACCGTGTCCTCCTGGGCTAAGACCGTGTCCTCCTGGGC